TGTCCCCCCCCCCCCCCCCGCAAGAACAGCTTTTCCCAACTGCTCAGCTGGTCTAATGAAAGGTACCACGTTTACCCCCCACCCCAAAAGGAAAAGCCAGCAAAAGGCGCCACCAATCCGAGAAGGTTGAGACCCGCTGCCCCGAGCTTCAGGTGTTAAACCTGCCCTGGTGCGAGTGCCACATTTCCCAAGCAGCTGCTTTATTGTTTTCTGGGTTTTTCAGATGAAGGCAGTTCTTTTTCACCCAGCGGGGCCTCCTGTTGTGGAACTGGTTGGGGGCCGTGAGAGCTGACCCCTTGGCCAGGTTCAAAAAGGGATCAGATGCGTTTTGGGAGGAAAGGGGTATCAGTAGCTGTTTGAGCAGGGGAACTGGGGAGACAGCCTCTGAATCAGGACTTCCTAGACCTTAAATGCTGGAGGCTACAGGTGAGGGAGGACCAGTGGAAAAAACTATGGTCGTACCCAGTGCACGCTCCCTTTCAGCATCCACGCTCTGCCACTGTGGCACAGGGCTTAAGGGACCATGTTACTTATTGCTTATGGGACCGTGGGCCAATGCCCACTAAGAAACGCTATAGGCCCCCCATACAGGGAGGCCACTGGGTGAGCAATGGTTGATTCCTTGGGACAAATCAAAATATAACAGGTATGGGCGTGAGGTCATAGGTTTAAAGTGAGCGCACCAAGAGGGAACGCTAAGCAGAGCACACCAGACAGTGCCCACTGGCCCTCAAATGAGTCCAAGGAGCCAGTCGACACTGTCCAGTGAAACTCTGCCTGGAAATGGGATTGGATCAGGGACAAGAAAGTGGCCACGCAGCCTCCAGGGGTCCTCTGGGCCATGGCCTCGTTTCTGATGAGGTGAATGGCTAGATTGGCTAGCACCAGGAGGAGGTCCCAGGCCTTGGTGGGGTTGCGGATGGGGAGTGCATAAATAGGGGAGGGGAATAGTGCAGCTAGAACCTCAACAAGAGCATCTGGAGGAGGCGGTGAGGGGGCTGCAGCCTGGTACACTCCAGGTAGGCATGTGCCAGGGTCTCCCTTTGCTCACTGAAGGGACAGGTGTTGGGAGTGTCCATGAAGCACACCAGGTACATGCCCATGGTGATGGCTTTGTGAAGGAGCTGTTAGCTCAGGTCTCCAGTGGTTTATGGGGTAAACTAAATCTCCTGGGCAAGATTAATTTATTGTCTGACTCAGTAAATGGCACTTCTTATGTTCTTAAGGAAAATAACCAAGAAAGGGGAGAAGCTGGAGCCTAGTGTGTACACCTCCCTCATTGCGTGGTTCAACTACACTCTATATCAGGAACAGCAGCCTCCTGGCAACACAAAGGTGTGCTGCCTGCTTAGCAACATCATGGCCATTACTGGTGTGAGGTACCATGCATCCATGTGTCACGCAATACATGGAATTCTGACACATGCTCTTTGCAGGTGATTGCACCCTTATGTGGTGTCAGAAAGTTGTACAGTGCTGCATGAAAAGTCTGCTTTTATTTCAGCATAACAATTCAGTTAGTTCAATAGCCAGTTTGGAGTTCTTGTTCTGCAATGCTCAGTTTTTGGGTATTAATACAGCACTTAAATTTTGCCTATTTTTTCTCCATATGTGGAAAAAATAATTATGGAGTATAACTTACATACATCTTTTAACATTCTTCCTTCTAAGTGTAACCCCCATCGGTCCACCAAGTCTGGCAGAAACACATGAGAGGTCTTTCTCAGCAGTTACTCCTTAGCTTTGGAACACCCTCCTTTGTGAAGATCGCCAAAGTGTGTGCCTGGGCATCTTTCAGAAGTGCTGCAAGATCTGTTTGGGCAAGCATTTATCAACCAAAGCCAGGCTGAGGTGGTGTTTAGTGGGTCTTTGCTTTATTACGTTACTTTTTAAATTTATTCTAGTTGCTCTTTAAATTGTTTCCCTTACTTTAAGCTGCCCTGAGCCTTGTTAGAAGGGTGGTATATACATTGCATAAATAAACAGATGCTATGTTTTCATTGCAAGGTCTCTGTGTACTTTAAAATAGATATTTAGAATCTGAAGAATATCAAAAGGGTATTGGGTTATCTTACAAATAATTTGGGTCTTGCACTGGATATCATGTCACTTGTACACAGTACACAGGATGTCATTTATATTTAAATATTTCCACTTTATGTTGGAGTTGGTTTTGTGCATTTGGCAGCACAAATGACCCTTTAGCCATCAGAGTTCAGATTAAAAGCAGGCCTAAAAATTTACCTTTTTCCTCTTCTGTGTTGCTTTTATTAATTCTGTAAAATGTATCATTAATAAAGAGAAGGGAAAGAAGTCTCTGTGTATGGGAGATTTGAGTGAATGTAACACTTGCAAGAGATTTCCTTGACAATCTGGGTGATTTCTGCCTATGTATATGATGGGTTTGGTATTCTCAGGAACAGGAAACTTTTAAGTCCATACCACTGCAATTTAACCCTGAACTGGAAATGGCCATGACAAACTCATTCTTTGCTCTCTTCCTCTAAATTGTCAACTAGGGTGCCAATGTGTAACAACTGTGGTTGTGCTTGTTGTGAGCTTGTGGCCCATGTGGATTTAACTTCATCAAGGCCACCTGCTTATTTCACATGGCCCATCCAGCAACCTGAAAAAAATTACTCAAAATATCTCTGCCACTATAGACTCCTGGGCCTGGTTTGAATCAGCAACTGGGGTGAAACAAGAACAAACAAGGGCTATTTTGTTTTATTGTAATAAAGACTAACAATTAGCACCAGACTATGATGATACAGACAGCTCATGGTTGGGTCATGTTGGTGACCAGTGAGCTCGGTTTGAAAACGGGATTGCTGGAGAAATGCTGGTAGCAAATATGAAGTAGTAAATCCCATTTAATAGTTTTATTTCTGGCTTAGGAATCAGCAGAGTTCCATGATTATACTCAGAAGAATCATAGCTTTTATTTTCTGCACCTGCACACGCTACATGCATGTGCAGCTTTCTTGTGGCTGCCTATAAAGCTGAGGATCTAATTTCCATGGTAACCTACTGAGCTGCAATTTTGAACTGCCTGGAATTTTGACAGCCAGAGAGGTTTTTAATAAGGACCTCATTGTGAAAGGCACTGAGCATTTGCAGCTCCTAAATGATTTTTGAGGGGAGAGCTTACTGGCATTTAGCATGCCTCACTGTCAGGCTTGCAAAAAGAGCCTGAGATAGACATGCATGACACTTCTCCAGTAGTGGCACTTAAGATCCAGAAGTGGCTTGGCTGCAAAAAGCAGAGCGTAGGTAGCCTTCAGCTACCAAAGTCCAAAGTTGTGATCCAAAGAATTCTGTCCAGCCGCTGCTTAACCTTGGCAGCATCTAACCCTTTCCTCTTCTTTTTGATCTGAATTTTCCCTAATCGCAGCCCCCATGAGTCTTGCACTCCTTTCTGCAAAGCAGCCCATCTTCAACAGGAAGGGTAATTGTCCCAGACTTCCTTGCTGCCTAACAGGAAAGGCACTCTACTAGGAGTGGGGAAGATGTGAGTTAAATTCCCTCAGGCTGAGGAGGCCATTGGACCTGGGTCTCTTGCTCTGTTCATGAGTGATTATATAAAGGTGCACACCTGCTGCAACCACTACCACTGCTTGTGTTCTAGAAGGAAAACATCTACCTCTGGGGTTTATATTCCCTTCTTGGGGCCAAACACCGAGAAGTGAAGTGCTGTGGTGCCTAGTTATTGGTACCCCTATCTTTTATTGAAAGTAGACCTGAGTTGATACTATCACTCTACAAATTTTCACCAAATAAAAAGATTAAATTAACATTCAATAATATGGACAGAGTCCTTCACTGCCATCCTTGCAGAATGTAGAATTCTGTTTTACATCTGCCTCCTCTGCAGGTATTGGAAGAAATTAATATTTTTTCATTTACTGTAATGTTGCCGAATTTGTCTGATGAATTAAGATCATTTTCTATCCTAGCCTAATTGCCTAGTGGCCATTCCATTCCCTTCCTTCCTGCAGGGTTTATTAAAACAAACCAACTATGATTCTCTACTGCCTTTGGTATCTTGCCTAAACTGGCTGCAAATTGCTACCCAGTCATAATTCTCCATTCACTCACCCCACTGATCTTGTTTTGGAAATTACAAGCTACTTAAGATCAGCACCCAAGGCTCATAACACGGCAAAGCAAGGCAGCATGTCCTAAAGCATTAGTATCTGGAATAGACACATTGGAATGCTCAGTGCAGATCTGGAGAGGGCTTGAAGCTGAAGAGATGATTTAATTATCATAGAGTTAGTGGTGGAGGATGAATGTTTATGAATATACATATAGGTAGCACATTTCATTCCAAAGGATCCAAGGATTCCAAGGAATCCAAAAGATTCACTAACTGATGGCACAAGTTAAGAGCTATATCCTTCAGGCTTCAACTGGTTTTTATTTTGTTCTTACTGGTGCTTCTCGATGTTCCTACCACCATAACAGAAGCAATAATAGTTGCTCAAATCTGGAGGCTTACCTTGCTCAATTTTGCAAGTTGGAGTAACTTCCTTGTGCTTAATGGGGCTATTCCAAGATTATTAACATACCACTTAAATTGGACTCCAGACCTTGGTGC